ACATTTGCTATTTCTAGGTATTTACTAATAGACTCAGCTTCAACTGGAGAAAATGACATTCTACTTTATCTTATAGACTGAGGGGAGAAAGCCCTGAACATGTGACTTCTTCTTTAAGTGACTAGCTGCATTTCAACTTTGCAAAAGCTGTTTACCCTAGATCACTAGTGTAAACTAGCATTTCTTGTTATATTCAGTAACATTTCAAAGACCACAGTCATTTAGCAAGTACAGACTGCTTCGTATTTTAGTCTCCAGCTGGTCTAAGCAAGATAACTTAGACATGTTCAATATAGCGGATACCTGACAAAAGATTGACCTGTTCCAGGACCTTGGTACACATCAAAATCCAGATGGTAAGCCCCTTGCATGACAAAATGCCATAATATATGCATATAACCTATAGACATCCTATGTAATTTAAAGCATCTCTAAATTACTTATAATACCTATCAGATGCTCTATACATAGGTAAGTACATAGCTGTTTCATGTGTTGAATAGGGAATACAAAGCAAAGTCCGTCTGTTCTGGAAAAATAAATTTTTTATGTATTATAGTTAGTTGAAACAATGGATGCAGAACCCTGTACAGAGTCAACTATTTTTGAAGATTATATAGCCTTCAGTCCCAAAATCTAAAAAGTCAATAAACTTTTAAAAAAAATGGATGGCAAAATCCATTGCCATGAATGATATAGGCACCTTACTTCTCAATTATCTTCATTATAAGTACTGTTCATTAATAATTCTGAGCATATACAAACAGAAGAAATGTAGGGAAATGATCAGTTCATCATTAAGAGCAAGTTTACAGAGCTTTAAGAAAGAATCCTAGAGTCCTTGAGGATTCAGCTTATTATGCTTTCCCAGTTTCATAAAGCTGAAAAAAGGTTAACTAGATTTATCAAATGTTAGGAACCATATCTGTTAAGTAGGAAAGGGGGCGGGTACTAGAAAATGATCTTAAAAACAATGGCTATTCCCTTGAGACTTTAAGAGCTAGTATCCTAAAGTATTCATTCATAATCCTCACAGGAACCAACAGAGGAAGAAATGATTCTAAATACTTAACAGTCAGAAGTACTCAAAGTTGCATAAACATATTGAACTAGAAAAAAAAGTAGAAAACCATGAAGCAAAATTCAGAATGTCTGAAGTATATAAGTAGCAAGTAAACTTATTAGGAAGGCAGACACTGGCACAGCTAAAGAGAAGGGGGCCATAAAACAAACTGTGACCAGCTTATGCCAATTACTTAAAAAAATAAAATCTGCATTGTACTGAAAATGACTAGCTGGCATCTCAGGTTTGCTAGTGCAACAGCACCATTACAGCAAGGGTAAGCAGGTCAACCCCTTGCAAAACTTACCTTGACTGGCCCAATGGAAACAGAAGGCCCCAGAAAAGAGAGAAGCATCTGGCAGTAGCAAATTGTTTTATTTTATCTTTCTGTGGAAAGAAACTAATTTTAAATAAGAACCAGAGCATTTAAAGAATAAATATTTTTTTAAAGCTCATTTATCTAGTTAGAGCAGCTCTACCAAGAAAACAAGAAGAGCTTTGTGCTGCTTAGAGATGAAAGGTAAAGAAGGGGAATTAGAGTTGTCTCTGCATCTCCTAGGGAGCTTAAAGTACTGTTATTCTAGAGTAACAGAGTAAAAGAATCTTTTATATAAGGAACTCCTGTAGGCAGAATCTTTTCAGTCCAGTGCCTTTGAAAAATAAATTATACAAAATTAAGAGCTATATTTTCAAATATAAAAGAAAACCACTTGAGCCATTCTACTTATAAAGTAAAAAAAGAAACACAACAAGCTCCTGTTTCCACCGCAATTTCACCAATAACTTTAGTCTTCATTGCTTAAACCATTATCAAAGTCAACAGCACTCATTAGCAAAAGAAAATAAATATCAAATGGAATAACACAACCCACCCAAGGATCTGTGTATTATAAAAACCTTCCATAGGACACAACTGTTCATGGAACTGAAGCTCTTGCCTTTCTTGAACACTTCTAACTTAGAAATAAAAATTCTATCTACCAGAGTCAGAGTCAGCTAAAATCTTTTGATCCACATCACTCCCACAAAAGTCCACTTACAGTTTGTGCTAGAAATGCAAGGGGAACTCACAAGTAGGAGTGAGGAAGCAATAATCATTTTAAAAATTCAAGTAGAAAATGAACTACCTATTTGGCACCGTACAGGGAAGAATTAGTAATAGAGCATAAAATCCCTCCACACGCCAAAAGAAAATCCCAAGTAATTACTATTTTTCAGATGTTACTTAGCATTTACACAGTTCACCAAAATTATCGGCTATATATTACTCCTAGACCATTAACAATCAATATGTCTGGAAAAAGTCACTAAGTTAAAGAGCCTAGATGTATAATGTCACTTTAAAGATTTTTTTTTTTTTTGGAGACAGGGTTTCTGTGTCACCTTGGCTGCCCTGGAACTCACTTGGTAGAATACACTGGTCAGAAACTTAGATATCTGCCTCTCCCTCCCCAGTGCTGGGATTAAAGTTGTGTACCACCGTGCCCAGCTTAAAGACACTTTAAATCTTAGTTTTGTTGAGGAAGTCAGTATATTTTTTATACTAGTCTTACTACATTCAAAATTTGGTTATAGTCAAGGTCAACGTTTTGTCATGTTTGAAAACATGGATATAAACTACCCTTATAAGAGATAAAAGTACAGCAATGGCCTACATTTAAAAGATCTGACACAATGAAACAAAAATAAACAAAGTAAAAAACATAATCTTACTTGTCCCATTGGAGGCCCTCCCATAGGGGGCATCATCTGCGGCATCATTCCATGAGGAACAGGAGGCATGTTTGCTCTCTGACCCATAGGGTGCATTCCCATTGGTGCATAATGCATGCCAGGATGCCCCATCTAAAAAACAATAAAAAACGAAAAGTGAGCAAGACACAGTAAATGTTTCTTAAAAATGAGACAAAAAAAAAAAAAAAAAAAAAAAAAACCAATTTACCTGTAAGGCACAATATTAAGTCAAAGTGTGATTATTAAATTAGTATATACTACATCAACCTTAAAATACACAACAGGTTATTTTAAGGAGCCTTCAAATTAACAGAACAGTGAAGTTAAATCCATTATAGGATTACAGCCCCCTCCCCGGTGATTTAATTAACTGTTAAATGACTACCTACACTTGGTGGCTATGTATTGAATTGCAACTTAAAAACTGTTAGTGTGAACACAACTTTATCCACTTTATACATATACCCAGCTTATATTATTTAAAGTTACATTAATTTTGATGATGTTTTGTCATAAAAACAGAATGCGGGTTCCCAAGAGTCCTTCATTAAGGAGCAAATATTCTAGTACCTAAGTCAAATATTTTAATACAGCTAAAATATCAAAAACTGTCATTCTGTCCCTGAAACTAAATGCAAATGACACATTTAGAGAATGTAAAATATTATATATCTATACGTATATCACATATAACTGTCCATTGTTCCTGGCCTGAAACTAAGTATCCGCTGCCAATTCTCCTAACAGAATCCCCACCCCTGCAAACCAGCCCCACCACTCCCGGAGAAAACAAACTGTAGCAGCTTCTCTTTAAAGTCCTGCAGACTTAAGGGCCCCTACTAAAAAACAGGCCGAGGGCTCTCGGATGCACACTCTGCCCGGGGCCCAGCACCTTCCTAAGGTATCTGTCTAGGCCAAGAGCGCAGGAACGTCCAAGGTCCCACATCCGTCTTTGTGCATTCCCGCCCTCCATTCCTGTCCCTCGGGACGTAGCCCACCATCTGGAGCTCTTCCTGGTACACTCTTCTCCTTTTGGAGAAGGCTTCCTGTTTCTCTGACTCGGTTTTTCATTGTGCCGCTTTCCCCTACCCAGCCGATCCCTTACCGAGGGCCGTCTCCTCAGGAAGCCGTCAGCAGAGACCCAAGAACTGGAGCACAGGTTTGAGCCGGACAATCTCCGCTCCCCGTCCCCGGGACCCCGCGAGGGAGGTTGGCTCTCCATTTCACTCACCATGAGGCCTCCACGCTCGGCTCCAGTCCCCGGCCTCATCGTCGGGCTCAGACTGCTCCGTCGGCGGCCACTGCCGCTACACATACCAACAAGAAGCGATCTGAGTGGCTGGCGCCCGCTGGGGCCAAAGGGTAAAGGCTGTCCTGAGCTACGGGGTGGGACGAGCGGGGCCAATAAACTGACAGGCTTGCCGCCTGTCCAATCAGAGCGCGCTACGGAAACGCAGCTCTGCGGCGATTCGCCCCCAGCCTCAGCTTCGCTCGGCGTTGCCTGCATGGAGAGGGGGAGGGGGACGGAGGAAGTTTCTGCGTCGAGCGCTCAGCCGGAAAAACTCCACCAACTTCCCCCAGGAAGGGGGACACGGCCGGGACCCAGCTTCCCGGGTTTGAACCCACCTCACCCCGCTGGGGGTGGGGCAGTGGCGTCCTGCCACCTTCGCCACCCCCCTTGCCCCCCCTTAGTTACGTTCGCCCCACAAACCTGAGACCACCAAGGGTGGGGTGGGGGCGGGGTAAGCGGCCCCCAGCGTTATCTGCCCAGTGCGCGCGCGCGTGACGGTAGGGGGTGGAGTCCTGTGGCGGGGGCGGGGCCTCGAGCTGTGCGCGCGCCCGAGCGGCGGGAGGAGGCGCGCGTTCTGTGGCTGGCCGGGACCTGCGGAGGCGGAGGTTACACCGCGGAGGGAGAAAGCGGTGGATAGTTAGGGGGCAGCCGGAGAGCTGAGCGGGGAAGCTGCTGTCACGGGGTGGGAGTGGGGGACCTTAAGGGGCCGAGTAAGTCAGGCTGTGTGTGGCCCGTGGGCCACGGGCGCGCGCTCCCACAGCGCGTCCGGGAGGGGACTCCGCGACTGTCAGCGGCCGCTCGCGCGCCCCCACAGCTCCGCGCGCCTTGGTCGGGCCTGCCGATAGCCGCCGCTGATTGGCTGTTGCCGGGGCGGGGCGGGGCGGTGGCGGGCGCTGGTTCTGCGCGGGGCTCTCGTTCTTTCCCGCCATGTCCTTCGCGGAGAGTGCGAGGTCTGTGGCCGCGCGACGGCGCCGCCAGGTCACCCCGGGCCCCGTGTCGCGGCCTGTGTATTCCGACTTCACTCACGGGGATGGCTGGGGTGTGGGCGAAGACAGCGAAGACGAGGGGTGCGACCAAGTGGCCCGCGATTTGCGGGCGGAGTTCTCAGCCGGGGCGATGTTGGAGCCCAAGAGGGCCCCGCTGCTCCCGCCGGTCGGGGACGGGTCACCTGTCCTGCCCGAGAAGCGCAACGGCATCTTCCCGGCGACTGCGGCCGCCAGAAGCCAGGCTCGGCGGTGGCCCGTCCAGGTCCTTTCCATTCTCTGTTCGCTGCTCTTCGCCGGCCTCCTTGCTTTCCTCCTCGCCATCGCCTATCTGATCGTTAAAGGTACTGACTGAAGCCCAGGCCTTGCGAGTCTGTGCACAGTAAAGGAGAACCACAACATCACTCACCTCCACTCACACTTTCCTCTCTAAAGCTTTCCCTCGAAACTACCTTTCGTCGCTCTCCCTCCCTTTGTCTTCTGTCCCTAGATGGAGGTCCCTGCCCCATAATGAGAACCATTTAGAAAGGATTTGACTAAATCCACACTCTAAAGAAACATAAAGGCATTGAACACGAGTTGAAACATTAGCACGGCTATTTAATCAGAGCCCCTACCTTTAAAAGGTTCATGAGAGTGTTCATGTGACTGTAGGGCTGTATATGTTCTAAGGCTGATTCACAAATGAGCATAGAGAAATTGAAAAACAGGGGTTTCTTCACCGCATCCCGAATTTCTACCTTTATAGGCAAAGTAACTTGTCTTTTTTGTGTTTGTAACGAGGTAGAGTTATTGCTAGACAGAGTCTAATCTTCTGCTGTGTCAGAAGTTGACATACTGGCCAATATAGGAATGCCCCGAGAGACTCTTTAGCCTTTCTCCCTTTCTGATTGTTGTATATTTTAGTAGTGGAAAGAGATTTGAATTTAGAGCTAATAGTGTTGACTTTTGTCAATTTATCGAGAGTGTCTTGTATTAAAAGGATTCAACACCTAGTGTTACCTTTTACTAATTAAAATTAAATCTATTTGACCCCAGTTTTGCATCCCAGCCCTTTATGGGATGCAGGTAGCTCTTGAACAGGTTACCATGGTTAGATTGACTTTTGTAGGGAAGACAGATTACTCTTTCACAATATATTATTGACTTTTAACTGTGGGCCTTAAAAGTTTGCCACCAGCAGGGAGGTGGTGACTCATGCCTTAAATCCCAGCCCTTGGGAGTGAGAGGCAGGTGGATCTCAGTGAGTTCCATGCACTCCTTTAATCCCAGCCCTTGGGAAGCAGAGGCAGGTGGATCTCAGTGAGTTCCAGGACTGTTAAACAAAGAAACCTGTCGCCAAAAGCCAAAAATGAAAAAAAAAAAATTTTTTTTTTTTTGACTGACCTTGTTTCAAATCTCTGCCACACCCTTGACCAGTTTTTCACTTCAACCCTGATAGTTTTGTCGGGGACACAGTTTATATATTTTTTTTTGTAATATAAAGTTATATACCCCTAAGTAGTTCATTGCAGAGGACATTGGTATTTTGGAGACTGGATCAAGGAACTGAAGTCAAAATCTACTTGTGCTGTTATGTTTCTTTTGTACAAATTGTCTTCAGCACAGCCCAGGGGGTAAACACTATTCCCATATTTATGAACCTTGTAAAGGTATTTGCTTGCTGAAGGTAATATAGGTAGGAAATCAGAAGTCTGACTCTAGGGTACTCTTGACAGTTGAACAGGATCTTCAGAGCCGTTAGATATGCTTGGCAAGAAATACTACTCTTCTACTTAAACCTCTCTTTGTATTTACAGAATTGCATGCAGAAAATTTGAAGAATGAAGATGATGTAGATACTGGGCTGTTAGGTATGAACTGATCATTTTATTCATCTAATTTTTTTTTTGTTTTTCCAAATTAAATACAGGCTTTGGGATAAAATTTTTCTTTTTTTTTATTTTTTTTATTTAATTTTATATAACAAAGTCCAATTAAATGAAAACAAACATTTATACACGATATTTGGGAATTTGGGCGTCGTTCTTTCCAAACTACTTCCTGCTGGTAAGGGGCGCTGTCTTGGGGGATTCGAAGAAGATTCAGATATCCTGGCTGTAGTCTGTAGGGCTGTTTTGTCCAGCTGTTTAGAATGTAGGATCACCTTGTACTCTGTTTCAGGCTGTCTAGCGTGATCAAACCACATTAGTCTGGAAGGAATCCACATCTTTTCATTTTCTGTGGAAACAAAAATAGAAATCCTTTTCCCCAGTAACTTGTCCTTCAACTTAAATTTTGGAGTCAAAGCATTTTTTTAATTTAATTTATTATTTTACATGTCGATCCCAGTTCCCTCTCCCTCCCTCCCTCCCCCCCAGCCCTCCCTTAGGATAAAATATTTTATATATGCCATGTGTAGTTGACTCATTAGAGTTTTTCATGTATATATATTTATGGTAAATGTTACTAGACCTACTTTTTAGATAGACATTTAGATTATTTTCCATAATTTTATAATGGGTCACTAAGGTGTGTGTTCAGAATTCATCCTAACTGCATTACTTGGGTCCATCGAATACTTAAGTAATTTCTAATTATGTTTTGGAAGAAACTTCCTATACTCCTTCTGGAATTTAGAACCAGAAACTTGCGCACAAATTTAACCAACATAAGAGCTCAAGGCCAGCCTGAGCAACATAGGAAGACTCCCAGAACAGAATAAAGTAAATCAACTGACCCATACATATACATACATATACAGCTTCTAAACATGATATTGTGTGTTTGTATTCCCAGGGTGCCCATCATTCCTTAATATTTGGTATTTAACATCAAGTTCCTTGTGTGGCCACAGGAAGTTATTTTCAGTAACAAGTTATTCTTATTTTTGAGCTGCTATATAATTTGTATACCTGACAAGTTTCTACAATTTTGCCCATGTTCGGGAAAGAAATAATTGATAAATACTGCAAAATCATTGAAAATTTCAACTTTCCTTTTCAGAGGTGTAAATGAGGCTCCTACCATCATGACTTTATGACACAAAATATTAGAAATATGGTTAAAGTTTCAAAGAAAAACCAAAGTTCAAAGAAAAACCAAAATAGATAGTAGAAAAAGCTCAATTCTTTTTTAAAGTGAAAAATTACCTAAACTCAGAATTTGATTTATCCATTGTATGATTTTACTAGTTAAATCCACAGACTATTAAGGAAAAAAAAAAAAATACAGTTATTTGCACCTGAGTGGGGTAACACAAATATTTCACCTAAACATCACTAGTAAATCATGTCTGCTATAATACCATATTTGAAAAATTGTATAACCTCATTAAAGAATAACTAGGGAAGAGCGAAATCAACATTCAATAGATTGGAAGGATATAACAAAAATGACCGTTTATCTGGGTTTTAGATTATGGATTTTTTTTTTTTTTTTTTGAGACGGAGATTCTCTGTGTAGCTTTAGAGCCTTGAACTCACAGAGATACACCTGCCTCTGCCTCCCAAGTGCTGGGATTAAAGATATGGGTCACCACTGCCCAACTAGATTATGGAAATTTTGTTTTTCTGTTTTCTATAACAAACTTTAGCCAGGCCTCGTGATGCATTCTGGGAGTCATAGAAGAATCAGAAATTCAAGGATATCATCAGCTACATAGCAATATCAAGGTCAACCTGGTCTGTAAGACCTGTTCTCTAAAAGTAGTTATAAGAGAAAAAAACACACATTCAAATTGACTTAAAATTGTATGTTTCACAATATACATTTTAAAGTTTAAGTTAACATTTATACTGTGAATATACCAAAAAAAAAAAAAAAATTACTTTAACCTCTTTATGTCCATCAATATACTAGTTCCCAAAAAATGGATAATGAGATCAGTTGCTCTTCTATATTGAAGGAGATACAGAGTGCACAGAGTTGGCCATTAGTTAGTTGTTTTCTTGCTTTTCTCTTTTTAATACAAAAAGTTTATAGAAATATAGTTGCTAATTTATTTTTTTTTTGAAAAGTAACGATATCCTGAAACTAATGTATTTTGAAAAATTCACTAACTAGAAGATTTGAGTAGGAAATAATGCACTCTCCCCTGTCATTGCATTAGTTGAAAACATTGAGTTCAGTGAGTTTTCAGTTAATGCAAAAGATGAAGATTCATCATTATGTCAGCTAATAAGTTGAGCTAAAGAGTAGATAGATATGTGTACTTAGTTCAAGGTCTATACCTTTGATAGCAGTTCACACTGATAATCTGTAACATGTCTATGTAATGTGCTGAGTCCAGATTATTATTTGCAGCATTTTTTGTAATAGTGAAAAGCTTGAAAAATGTGTGATAATACTGTAACTGTGTATACTGATAAGAAAGACCTTCAACAAAGACTGCTCCATGAAGAAAGCCAAGTGACAATTTTATTTCTGGGCAATACACTGAGAAAATAACTTCAGCTGAGTACTTTGTGTGTTATGTTCCTAGTATCTGCTAGCTCTTACAAAGATGCCAGCAAGCTCTGAGTTGTTAGCTGTAGAGATGGCATAGTGACAAAATGTTACCTGAGCTATTCTGACAAAGTTATTGGAGTTTACTTTTTTATTTTTCTTTGCTCATTTGTAGATGAGTTTTATAATTTTCAGACTATAATTGCAGTGCAGCTTTAGTTTTATTATTGTGACATGACTTCCTAGTCATGTAGCTTTTAATTACTTCAGAAGGAATATAAAGATAATTTAAATGTCCATAAGATTGTACAATAATAATCAAGATGGGCAATCTCAAGAATTTTTTTTGTGTGTATGAATAAAGCTATTTCTTTATGGAAAAAAATTCACTTATATAAATAGTAGCTAGAGTAAAATGAGAGCTATTCACAAGAATAGTATTAGTAAATTTGACATGTGTGCTCTGAAAGCTCTGAGATAGAAAGGCTTGGTTGATTTAAATAGCAAGAGACTGAGTTAGTTTTCAATGATATTTTCTTTTTTACCTTTAGGTATCTAGAATCTCATCATTTCAGAGCAGTCTATAATCTTGATTTTTTTTTTTTATTAACATTTGTTTTAGATACTTTATATAAATTATACTAATTTTGAAGTAAATTTATGTTTACCTCACATCTTTTTGGAGATTTTTTTGTAGCAATTAACACTTATTTGCCAATGCAAATATTGCTAAATTAAAGTTCATAATTTTTGTAATTTCTGCTGTGTTCTCATTAGCTAATGATAAGGTTGAATTTCAGCCTTTACTAAGATTCTTGGTCCTAGATTGGGCTAAAATCCTAGAGCCTGGGTACTGTGCCAGAGTTTTGAATTTGAGGTGCATTCTGAGGACATTTGCTGAAGTGAGTTACTGTTGAAACATCTAGCATTCTGTTTTGGATGTCCTTTTAAATGTAGCATTTAAATCATAGGACAGTTGCTATTTCTGTACCCCACTTTGAGGTGTCTTTGGGCCATCTTGCAAGATGTACAAAACCACATTCCTGTCTAGTGTATAGCTTTTTCTGGATGGCTGTATCAGGAAGCCCAACAGCACTCTTCCGTCTTTATATCCTAGGTTCAGTGCAATCACAGGCACATTTATTCCAAGTAGGAACATCTTTATCTTTCTACATGTTCCACATAAAACAGTTTTTCTGTATTCCAAACACTTCATTATTTTTTTCTCTTTGAGAAGTTTTGTGCTTACCTTTCTATCTCTGATTAAATCTGTATACTAGCTTTGTAACTTTGCAACATAAAAGCCAGAGATGTGGTATTTCTCCTTTTAGTGTTTCCACATACTTCTTGTGATATAACTTTTAAAAAAGGGGGTTGGTGTTGGGGGTAGGACAGGAAAGGGGGAACTATCAGTTTTTAGGTCAGTCTTTTTCTGCTTTCCTTGTTTTGTTTTGTTTTGTTTTGTTTTTGTGATGGTTTCTATGTATAGTCTTGGCTGTCCTGGAACTAGCTCTGTAAACCAGGCTGGCTTTGAACTCACAGACATCCTCTTGTCTCTGCCTCCCAAGTGCTGGGATTAAAGGGCATGTGCCATCACTGCCATTCTTTTAAAATACTTTTAAAACATTTCTACACTTTCTTATTGTTTAATTACTTTGTTTTTTTACATGTCAGCATTGTTGTCAGTGTTATTAAGCTTTATATGATTTAAAAACAGCATAGCACACATATTTATTACCTGCTTTTTTGATAAAATACTCTGTGATATATCATTTTTGTGTAGCCAGGAAATTGCTAATTCTTGTCATCCCTTGGTGTTCTTTGTCTTTCTTTCTGGGACTCTGAAAATATCTCCTGTAAACTTTTTAGTAAGAGTATATAACCGGGGGCTGGAGAGATGGCTCAGCCGATAAAGGCTATGCTCACAACCAGAGTATAACCTGGTAAACTTCCCATATCAAGCAGTCAGAGCTAGGCAGCACTTTAATCCCTACAAGCGGATCCCTGTGAGTTTGGGGCTAGCCTGGTCTATAGTTTCAGGACAGCCAGGGTTACACAGAGAAATCCTGTCTGTCACAAAAAGGACATACAAAAAATAAGCAGATTATGATGAAATATACCTTATGGTACAACTTCCCTGCTCCTCTTCTGTTCAGAAACAACTTTAGAACCTGGGTTTACTTTTACATTTTTGAGATATGGTTTTATGTAACCTAGGCTAACTCTGAACTCCTGTGTATGGGAACATGACTTTGAATTTCAGATTCTTCTGTTTTCACCTCACTAATGCAAGGATTACAGGCATCCCCACCACTGGGGATGGACCCATGGTACACAGGCATTTTGCCAGCTAAACTATATTCCCAGCTCTGTTGATTCCCAATTTTTTTAATAGATTTAAAAAAAAAATCACATGAGCCAGGTGTGGTGGTATGTGCCTTTAATCCTAGTACAGAAGCAGGTGGATGTCCAATTTCACAGGCTGCCTGGTCTACATAGTGAGTTCCAGGACAGCCAGAACTACATGATAAGATCCTATCTCATTCCTCCCTCAAATCACATGTGTCAAAATTTAAAATAGTTACAAATTATATACTCATAATAGACTTCTCCTGTTCACTGTTTCTTCTCACTGCAAAGGACCAGTGTTAAATTCTCAATTGTCCCTGGGAATTTTTTTTATCAATATCTTAAGTAAAATATATATTTATATATATAGCTTGTGTATTATACATGGATATAGGTACACTATATTTGGATATGTCCATATATAGCACATGTATCATTAAATTTTTAATTAGGTTTTCCTGTATAACTCAGGTGAAGATTGTTGCTTCAGGCTCATGATCCTACTGTCTTAGTCTCTGGAGGCCTGAAGTCACAGGTCTATATCAACATGCCATTTTATGCCATGTTCATTGATATGTTTTAGAATTTATTGTGCATAGTGAAGGATATGAATTCAACTAGTTTTCCTTTTTCTAGATAGTATTGAAAGGTTTGTGGCTTAGGGGAGTTGGCTAGTGATTAAATTTAGGACCTTCCATCAGCTATGCAAGGATCTCATTGGGCTACATGCCTAGCCTATATCAACATCTATATATTTGTTTTTTATGACAACATCATGCTCTTACACAAGCTAACTTATTTGACTTTTCTTCTAAATGTTGTATTTCACTCCTGGGTCCATTTGCTTACACTAATTGTTAAATGCAAGGTTCTGTAGCATTCAGTATTTGGTAGTAGTCTGCTGTTGAATATTATTGTGTAATATATAAATCTTAAAATTAATTTCTTTCAAGAATTACGACTTTGATCTGAATGCTGATGTTACCTTCCCAGAAACTGTAAAATATGTAAATTTACTCAAAAAAAATGTTTCTCAATCTATAGCTACTAATTTACTTATGCTCTTGTTTTCTTCTCACCAAAATTACTCAGTGAAGACAATGTGTTTTTTGTTTTGTCCTCATTATATAGCACTGTACCAAATACAGGGTGTATCCTGCCAGGTAGATGTAATGATTTAAACTTATGAAAGACTTTTTAAAAACTTGAAGTTAAAATAAAAAAACTGGGGACTGGAGAGATGACTTAGCAGTTAGGAGCACATTCTGTACTACTCTTGCAAAAGGGTGAGGTTTGTTTCCCAACACCCATGTGGTGGTTTACAACTGTTTGTCACTCCAGTTCCAGAGGATCTGACACTTTGCAGACAGCAGACATACATATGGTACCTGTAAATATGTGCACTAAATACTCACATGTGTGAAATAAAAATTAATGAATTTTAATAAATGTTAACTGTACTTTTAAAAAGACTTAGATTAACAACAGTTCAATTATCCCTTTACTATCCTTAGTGAGTTGAGTAGTATCCAAAAAATCTTCAATTTATTTCTGTGTCCTATCTCTATCTCTTTCTAGTGCTTCCTAGCCCTTATCCCTCAACTTGGGTTCACTATAATATCATGCTTTTGATTTGATTCCTTTGAGAAAAAAGTTCTAAATTGACCAATTTGAGTTCCTAATTCCTTGGTAAGTTAGAAGGCAACTTTAGCTTATATACTGAACAAGAATGAAGAATCAGTATTTTATTTTCATAGGAAAATTATAGAGAGGAGGTATTGTGCAATTGGTTTATGTTAAAAGTGCTTGTTTTGGAATGAAAGAAGGCACTTAGAACAAAACGATAGCAAATGCCCTACTGCTCATGAAGTTAAATGAAAACTGTTAAAGACTTGCTGAGAGTAAATTGACTTTTTGCTATAGTTGAATGTCATAACCAAATTTTTTACAGTTTTAGGTCTAATTTGTCATTGCTTGCACATACAATAATTTCATAAAACTATTTAATGATCCAATCTTTTCTTCTTTATGTGGGTTAGCATGTGCTAAACTCAAATCTCTTAGGAAATTTACATCAGCATTTGAACATGAAGAGCCTAGTTTAGATAATGTTAATAATTTTTCCCTCTCTTCCCATTAAGGATTCTGGTCTCTGCTGACACTATCTCTAACTGCTGGATTCTCCTGTTGCAGCTTCTCTTGGACAGTGACTTACTTTGATTCTTTTGAACCAGGAATGTTTCCGCCTACTCCTCTTTCACCTGCTAGGTTCAAGTAAGTGCTTCTGGGTTTCTTTATTTTGTTTGTTTGAGGTGTGTGTATGTGTATATGTGTGTGTGTGTGTGTGTGTGTGTGTGAGAGAGAGAGAGAGAGAGAGAGTTCTTTTAAACACACTAAAGTAAGAATCAGTAAAGTGGGATATGTTGAAGCTCTAGATTTCAGTATTAAATATAACAAGATTTTTTAGCATGTAGGCCTTAGGTATTTGGAGAATAATATTTTAAATTCCCTATCTAAATAATGTAATGTTTAAAATATTGAAAATCATACTTGTATGCCCATGGATTTGCATTTAATGTGGATAAATATTTAATTCATAACTAAATATTCTAAGAGTTATACCTAAGAGTGGAATACCATACTATAGATTACTTGGTAGTATTTAATCAGATAGCTTATTTGGCTAAGACATAAAAAAGAGTTCAAATTTATGTTGTTTTGCTGCCCATTAACACCTGCAGTACCTTTACTAGACACAGTAAATTTTGTGTAATGTGTGACTTCTTCCCTGATTGCTAGTCCTGTATTTCCAGCTGTTTTGGCAATTAGAGTTTAGAGGATTAAAGAGTTTTAGTGTTCTTCTAGATATCTATTAAGTAATTGTATTAAGTTTTAAAAAATTAATCTTTTTATTAAACTGTAAGTAGAAATAAGAATCTCTATTGTCAAATGTTTATTAGTCATTAAAATGATGGTTTTAAGTCACATACTTTTAAAACACTTATAAAATATATTTAAATATGCTGTATTCAAGTTAATTTTTTAAGTAAGTACAAATTTTAAAATGCAAAATTATTTTATGTTTATGAAGTATAGATACACATTTAAGTAACACATAAACACAGTTTGAAAATGAAAATATTGCCCTCTAGTGTTCATGAAAATAATCAAGTCACAAAGTCTTAAGTATATATATTCTCTGTGTAACCAGCAGAGTGAGTCCTTGTACAGAAAGTGGACTCTTTCTTGTGAAAATTTTGAAACCTTCATAGACTGTTTAGAAATCAGATATATTTCCCTAACATATAATATAATGACTAACGAAAATAACTTTATAATATGTTATATTATCTTACTACCTAAAAGGTTAATATAAGCATGTTTCTTGTTTGCTTAAAAGTATTTTGATTCTGTATTGAAAGATACTAAAATGGCCTTATGGTTGTATTTCAATTGCTAGTGTGCATCCAGCCCTGGGTTTCATGCCTTGGCACTGCACAATGAATAGTGGTACATGTGTGTAATTCAAGCTAGTTCAAGGCCATTCTTGGACCACATTGCAAATTAGAAGCCACTCTGGAATACATGACACCCTGTCTCAAAAAGAGACAAATACAGAAAGTATGTTTATGTGTGTGTGTAGATAATGGAAATTACCTATGAAAATTACTATCTTTTTTAATGTATTCCTTTCCATTCTTTATGTTTTTTTTTTTTTTTTTTTTTTTTTTAATTGTATTTTGTTTTTCGAGACAGAGTGTCTTGTAGCTTTGGAGCTTCTTCTGGCACTTGCTCTCTAGACCAGGCTGGCCTCAAACTCACGGAGATCCATCTGCCTCTGACTTCTGCCTCCTGAGTGCTGGGATTAAAGGAGTGCATCACCACTACCTGACATTCTTTATGAATATTTTAGACATGGTTAGGATCGCCATGTATATACTATTTTCATGATATTCAAAATTCATAAAATGTAATTGTTTTATTTAGTCTTGATATTCTTTACAGAATACACAGATTTTAATAAGACTGTAACTTTAATAAAAGACAATTTCAAGGAAAGAAAATCAAGAGTATTTTGTCACTTATTTGTATTTAGCAAAACATGTTATTTAATTGTGTGTGCATATGTCCTGCTGCTGCGTGTACACATGTGTTAAGGTCAGACAACTTGAGGGGGGTCATTTCTGGCCTTCTACCATGTGGGTTCTAGGATTGAATTCAGGTCTTCCAAGCTTGGCCAAAAGCATGCTTACCTGTTGAGCTAGCTTGCCTTCCACCAATAAAGCTTTGTAATTTAGCTAAGTTTACAAGTGCATGTATGGAGCCAGTTTCTGTCAAAAGTCCATTAAGTACCTTTTTGAAAATGTACCTTTATCTTTTCTTTTTTTTTTTTTTTTTTTTTTTTTTTTTTTTTGAGGCAGGGTTTCTCTGTGGCTTTGGAGACTGCCCTTGAACTAGCTCTTGTAGACCAGGCTATTCTTGAACTCACAGAGATCCACCTACCTCTGCCTCCCGAGTCCTGGGATTAAAGACGTGTACCACCACACCACCCAGCACCTTTATCTTTTTAATAGTACTTATGCAAAAAATGAAAATTTTTCTTTAATATATTTCTAAAATAATTGCATGGAGGACTATGCCTTAGCTACTTGGAATTGGTATTGTTAAAGAACAAAGCAGAAGTTTGACTTTCTTGAATTATCTACAGTATTCCTTTGTTGTCATTAGGTTATAATTTATTTTAACAGTCTTGTATAATTCATTATTTTTTCCTCGCGTTGTCTCATCAATATCTCCAACTCACTTCCCTTATTCATTGGGCCTTATGAGTGGATTCTAAGCAGGCAAATAAAATACATGTATAGTAATTACCTCATGTTTTGGCATCTACATAAGGCACCTATTCACACAAAGTTAATATATACAAAGAGAACCATGACCTTTAAGGTATCTTGAGGTTCATTCTAGGATAGGCCAGTGCCAGAACCAGACATTTTATTTAAGTCTTTGTGATTGGAGAAGTTATATCTACCTTGAACTTGCATTTTTCCTAAAAGTACAACTTTTAAATTAGTATTTTACTACAAGAGATGTCTTAGGGATTACACATAAAAATCATAAAGGAGCCAAGTCTCTAAGCCACCCGTAGGTTTTATCATTAGTGTTGTTTTCATTTTATAACAAGAAACCATGTCTCAAGAACTGAATCAACTTGTACAATCAGATTATTTACATGTAGCATAATGCATCTGACTACTTTTGGTTTGCCTCATTGCTCACTGGCTTCTATATTATAAAATAGAGGAACAGTAGAAGTTTTACTAATTGTTACTTTGTTAACAACTAACTCTGAGCTTTTATAAAATGGCAGTTTTGCCTCTGTAGTGTTGCTAAATAGAGTAACAACTTTTTTTTTTTTTAAACATCTATTCTGGTCTTCATTGTTTTCTTCAGGTCAGTGACACTTTCTAATTTAAACTGCACACATTTTACATTACTTCTATATAGGCACCATCTAGTGGTAAATGGTCTGTCTATAGGCTTGCAATTATTTCATGTGCTAAAGATAAAACCATTTAATTACCAAAACTCTCGCCTATAGCACAAATATTACTTTATTGACCAGTAACAAATTTAGTGGAAAATTGAAAAACCAAATCTTGTTGCTAACTTGAAAAAAATGTTCATTATTTAGGTCAGAAGTCAGATTTAACAGCTTATATATTCTTATAATGTTCGTAGGTTATAAAACCAAAGTAACCTAGGCATTCCAAAGTAACTCATTTCTGTTTTATTGGTGTTGTACTTTACATTTAATATTTACATTTAAAGTTAATTTGTCTAACAGGTCTTGTGGACTTCCACAGTTTAATTAACTGGTATTGAGACCAGAGCTATATTCCCAGCTGTAAGGGAGTATTTTATAAAATAATAACAATAAATTATTTTATACTATGAATATTCATCAAGATTTATTTTTAAGGAGAGAAAAAAGTTTATACTTATAATAATAGGAGAACTTGGCCGGGCAGTGGTGGTGAACTTGTTCTGGGCTGTAGTGGTGGTGGTGGTGTATGCCTTTAATCCTAGCACTCAGGAGTCAGAGGCAGGCAGATCTCTTGAGTTCGAGGCCAACCTGGTCTACTGAGTGAGTTCCAGGACAGGCTTCAAAGCCACAGAGAAACCCTGTCTTAGAAAAAAAAAAAAAGAAAGGATAGGAGAAATCTATTACAGAAATCAAGTGCTGCTAGAGATTTCTAAATTTCAAGTTTAAGCTGGTCAAAGATTATATAGCTTTAGGTAGCAAGATGGCTCATCAGGTAAAGCTGCTTGCTGCCAAGCCTGGCGAACTGAGTTTGATCCCCTAGAAGAGAATCAGCCCTCACAGGTTGTGCTCTACCTTCACTTTTATACGTCTCCACAACTGCATAACTGTAATATTAAAAAATTTATTTCTGGTTTATTTTGTATTTGTATCTAAAGCTTAGATTGTTGAACTAAAAAAACTGATTTTAAATAGATTTCCTGCTTCTGTTGAGTAACACTGAAGAAATGACATGCTGTAGTCAATAGCATTGAGGGTGTGGAGACTACTTCAGTCCTTATAAATAAATCTTTAGCCACCTTCTATAATAGCTCAACTTGAGTCTCACAACTAACACTGAACCTATTTGAGGCTAACTTGTTTTAAGAATTATCTACTATTTGCAAGGCTAAGGCAGGAGGCCTGCTATGAGAGTTCAGTTAGCCTTGGTTATATAGTGAGTTCTAGGGCATCCTGGAACTAGCGATCATATCTCTAAAAACAAAATATTTCCTTCTTATTTGGTTTAATATCCTGGAATAGTTTTGTTTACAATATGAACATTTGTTAAAAGAAAAAGAATTACAGGGGCTGGAGAAATGGTTCAGTGGTTAAGAGCATTGACTGTTCTTCCAGAAAACCTGGGTTCAATTCCCAGCATGCATGTGGTATTTCACAACTTAACTCCAGTTCTTCGGGACCTGACACCCTCACACATGCATACATGCAGGCAAAACACCAATGCATATAAAATAAAAATAAAAAAAATTACAGTGGGAACAGGGGCTGTCTCTGACTCTTGTACTGGTTTATGGTACCCTACTTATATTGTGTTGCCTTGCCCAGCCTTAATACATGAGGTGCTTACTTGCTGTAATTTGAGGAGAGGGTGAGTAGTTGGGGGTTTTGAGAGGAGAAGAGGGAGGGAAAACTGGCTGAGATGTAAAATAAATAAATGAATTTATTTTTA